CAAATCTGAATGCTAAATTCAGATAAGGCACACACACACTGGAAAAAATGGTGTAGAAACAATTTTAACTCAGAAATTGCTAGTACATTTCATAATTACAAAGAAATGTCAAGTAGTATTTTATCGCCTATATCAATGTAGCATATTTAAAACAATTAAATAGAAACGTTTCAATGAACATTGTAGCTCCTCCCCTTGATAGTTGGTACAGTCCTGCTAGTGCTGCTGTGCTAATAATAACACACAGAGGAAACTAACGGAAGGTAAATGACTTTAAATGTATATATATTCAATTAATAAACGTGTTCTATGCTTAACAGTGGGTATTAAAGTTAAGTAAACGTTTATAAGAGTTTTCTGCGGACGCAATGGGATTAAAATCTGGTGTTTATGTGTGGACGCAGGCCCAGAGCAGTCACCTTCACATCAACACAAACATTTATTATGTGATGATTGCTTTTGTTATGACATTCCTACTTCGATGTTTTATTTAAGTCAGTAGATATTAATAAGATCAGACTAGGTTTATGTAGACAGATTAATGAATGCTGCAGAATTGCTGTGACTATTTGTTGTTTTGACTCCACATAACTTCACAAATATACTGACATGTGTAGACTTACGAGCCACAATTCATCATTTATTTTCTGTAATCAAGCATTTAAGCAGAAGGCATCGCATTTATGTTGTCGCTAACACTTTACAATAAGCTTCATTAGGTAACTACTTAGTTTACTTGAACTGAGAATGAACAAAACTGCAGCGTTTATTAATCTTAGTTAATTTCAACATTTACTAATGCATTATTAAAATCAAAAGTTGTGCTTGTTAACATTAGTTAATGCACTGTGAATTAACATGAACCAACAGAGAACTGTATTTTCATTAACTGACATTAACAAAAAATACTGTAATAAATGCATTGTTCATGTTTGTTGATACATTAACTAACACTAACTATTGGAACCTTATTGTAAAGTGTTACCCTGTGTTCTTTAATCACAGGCATCATGGTGAACTTCGCAGCAGCAGTTCGTGAGCACTGGGTCAATATCCTGGTCCCTCTGGGTTTCGTCATCGGGGTTTATCTGGACCGATGGAATGACCAGAAACTCACAGCATTCAGGAACAAGAGTGCTTTATACAGCAGGTCACACGACTTCTTATAAAGATGTCTTAAAACCAGAGCGTGTCTTTGTAGGTGAATTATTTTTGAATCTGTAACTTTCTGGTTTCAGGGAACTGAAGCCTGGTGAGGAATACACCTGGAAGTGAGACTCCTGCAGTCATATTTATTGGACCCTGTGCCCACTATGTGTATAATGTCTGTTCGTCCACCATGTTTCTGATGTGGCGCAATACATTTTGCATTTAGTTCTGTAATGCCTTGTAGTTTTTATTTACAGCACATTAAGGACAAATGATGGGAGATTTTATACGTTGGCTGGTTTCTATTCAGTCCAAACTCCTGCTCCACATCAGAGTCATCAAGTTATTAAAGGAACACTTCACTATTTTTGAAAATAGGCACATTTTCCAACTCCCCTGGAGTTAAACAGTTGAGTTTTACCGTTTTCGAATCCATTCAGCTGGTCTCCGGATCTGGCGGTAGCACTTTTAGCTGTAGCTTAGCATAGATCATTGAATCTGATTAGACCGTTAGCATCTCTCTCAAAAATGACCAAAGAGTTTCTATATTTTTCCTATTTAAAACTGGACTCTTCTGTAGTTACATCGTGTACTAAGACCGACGGAAAATAAAAAGTTGAGATTTTCTAGGCCGATATGGCTAGGAACTATACTTTCATTCCAGCGTAATAATCAAGGAACTTTGCTGCCGTACCATGTGTGCAGCAGGCGCAATGATATTACACAGCGCCTGAAAATAGTCCCCAGCACGCTCCCTGTGCAAGCAGGTGGTCACGTTGGTTATGTTGACGGAAGTTAGCCTATTTTCAGGCGCGGCGTAATATCATTTCATTTTCCGTCAGTCTTAGTACACGATGTAACTACAGAAGAATCCAGTTTTAAATAGGAAAAATATAGAAACTCTTTGGTCATTTTTGAGCGAGATGCTAACGGTCTAATCAGATTCAATGATCTATGCTAAGCTACAGATAAAAGTGCTACCGCCAGGCCCGGAGATCAGCTGAATGGATTTGAAAACGGTAAAACTCAACTGTTTAACTCTAGGGGAGATGGAAAATGAGCCTATTTTCAAAAATAGTGGACTGTTTCTTTTAAATGTCAAATATGTCCTGATTTGATGTGTTTTTGCTGCATCATGTGTTTTGATAATTTCACAATTTTGATTTCCTATCTGGTTTTACTTGGCTTGTTAAGAGAAAATGACCAAAATAACTCCTGCAATAACCTTTTTTTCATATTTGAAAGCAATAGCATATGTTGTTAGAAGACACCAATACTACACTGTTTTAGCACTGGTGCAACTATAACTGATTGAACAAATTTATACGCGCTTGTTTTCCCAAAATGTATGGATGGCCTTGTCAATGTATAATAACATTTTAAGTTTAACTTGAGCAATTCTGTACATACACAGACATATATTAATTTATTTTCAGACTGGTCAACAGGACAAAGAAACCTCAAAAATACTCTTGGTTCGCTTTCTAAAGATGTTTTATACACATTGCAGACAATTTCAGTTTACAAAAAGTATGTAGTTACAACAGATGATAAGCATAGGACACTCATTTTCTTTAGCCACAAAATACTGTTTTTATTCAAGCTGTCAACGGTTCGGCTGTGTGGATCAGTGCCTTCTCAAAGAGCAGCTCAGCCAGAGACATCTGCAAAATGACATTCATTTCAAACTCACCACATGCATTAATTCATTATAGCAACCTGAACAGGTCTTTAATGGCTGAAGTCCTTAAGTATAAAACAAATGCATGCAGTACCTTTGCCTCCACTGTCTCGCATGGCAAACAGGCCACAGAAACAAACTTGGGATATGAATGGCTTAAGTTTATATGTATGACCTTTCAAAAGGGATATTTTAAAGCAACCCCCCCCGACCTTCAGTAGAGGTGTTACTGTGAGACTCACCAGCGCTCAGCACCGGTGGAAGGCAGTCGTGCAGGAAGTCTCTGGCTTTCTGATCCACAGCAGCATCGACTGGTGCATAATCGACCAGTTTCTTCATCAGGCCCTCGACGTGTGCAATGAATTTGTCTCTCCGTGGGTCTTCCTGTTCACACGCACAAGTGATTTCTGTGTCGGTACAGCTCTGTATATTAATGAAGTTGAAACACAAGTACCTTCTCAGAGTTCTGAACTCCCATGAACTGAAGGTAATCGAGCGGCAGTCCCTTCCTGAACTCAACGTCTTCCTCCATCGCAGTCTCCAGAGCTGCTGGCATCAACTGCAAATCAAATACATTCACTGAAGTGACGATATCTAATCTGGCTGAATCTTACATAGAAATATCTAGTTTGCATTTCACCCTCAAATCAATAGATCTGCATTATTTCTTTAATGCAAATAAAAAGAAAGAAAGAAATAAAAGTAACCCAGTAATTAAATCGTGCGGTTAGGACACTATTTATTTATTCATTCATTCATTTATTTTGAATGAATAAATCATCCTGGTAGGACATTTATTCATTCATGTTTTAAATGTATACTTAAAAATTTAATTCACAATTTAAATTGTGAATTATATTTGACAACTAACAACATCTAAATCATTCAATGAATCAGGGTAAATCTTATCTTAAAGGAACACTCCACTATTTTTGAAAATAGGCTCATTTTCCATCTCTCCTAGAGTTAAACAGTTGAGTTTGACCGTTTTCGAATCCATTCAGCCGATCTCCGGGTCTGGCGGTAGCACTTTTAGCTGTAGCTTAGCATAGATCATTGAATCTGATTAGACCGTTAGCATCTCGCTCAAAAATGACCAAAGAGTTTCTACGCTGCGTAATATCATTGCGCCTGCTGCACACATGGTACGGCAGCAAAGTTCCTTGATTATTACGCCGGAATGAGAGTATAGTTCCTAGCCATATCTGCCTAGAAAATCACAACTTTTCATTTTCCGTCGGTCTTAGTACACGATGTAACTACAGAAGTGTCAAGTTTTAAATAGGAAAAAGTGTTCCTTTAAAAGAAATATCTGTATCACATTTCACACCAACAATCAAAAGGAATAAAGCAGCACAAGTTCTCATTTCTTAAATTATTACAAAAAATAATGAATGATTAAATGAATAAATAAATAAATACAAAACAACAACAATAGTACATTAATTAAATCATCCTGTCAGGGCACTATTTATTTATTCATTCATTTTTTAAAACATATTCTTAAAAATGTAATTCACAATTTAAATTGTGAATAACATTTGACAAACGACAATATCTAAATTGTTGAGTAAATATAGGTGAATCTTATCATATCCAGATCACCCAAAATCTAAAGAAATAAAGCAGCATGTTCCTCTAAAACTCTTATTTCCTTAATGTAAAAAATAAATAAATTATATAAAAAAAATACAAAAAAAATGAAGTACAGTAATTAAATGATCCTACTACTGATAATTAGGAAAGGGGGATGTTAAGTGTGCTTGATTCATTCAAGATTCATTGATTGATTCAATTCAAGAAGTCTTTAGCCATTTTCAAAAAACCATCTAAAGACACATCTTTTTCGTCAGCACCTGACCAATTAATACTAGCACTTACCTATTCTATTTACTAAAATAAAAAATAAAAAACACCTTGCTATGTGTACTGTGCTATATTAACTGAGACTTGTATACTGCTGCTCTCTTGTTGGTCTGATTGCTTCTATTGTTCTCCTCATTTGTAAGTCACTTTGGATAAAAGCATCTGCTAAATGATTACATGTAAATGCTAAAGAAAAAAAAACTCACCATGCAATGGCCCTAAATTAGGTTAATTTTCTTGAAGTAAAATGTATTTTTCTTTTGATTTTGGTGTGAAGATATTTTGATTTGTTTCGTCAGTTTTTGTGAGATTCACTTATCATTCGACATTCATCACTGATTCTTTTAGATTCATTTACAGCACAGACTCAGAAGTGAAGGGTTGTACTTTGAGGAGCAGATCTCCCCAGCTGTTCCTCTGGAAGGAGGAGACGGTGAGGTGCAGCGAGTGAGCGTCAGGCAGACAGTCGTCCTGATGAATGAAGCCACGGGGAAAATACAGCAGATCGCCAGCTTCCAGCACCACGTCCATGATGGGCTGCCCGATCTCGTCCTGACTGAAATTAGCTTTAGGAGAAATGCATCAGAGAGAGAGTTTATCTCCTTTATAAGTAATAAAACGCTCGTTAATATGACCAGCTATGTACATAAAGACTGTACTTACGACTGGACACCAGTGGCAACACTTCATCTTCAGATCTAAGGGACGACAGAGGCGCTACTAGTTAATACTCAAGATTTTTTTATTTTATTTATGGACATGACAGCTGAAGTTGAGAGGACTAGTTCACTAAAAAATTACAATTTGCAATTTACTCACCCTCAGGCCATCCAAGATGTAGAAGAGTTTGTTTCTTCACTGGAACAGGTTTGGAGAAATGTAGCATTACATCACTTGCTCACCAAGGTATAGACAAACGAAGTACAGTATTAGTCAGACCACAGAATGTAGAGTTTCTTTGTTCATCAACAGCTATGGAACAGGATGGCGGTGTAACCGGCCACTGATCAGATGGAAGTTGAAGGTATGTTGGTCCCATATTCCAACGACTTTGTGGCCCTAGTTCTGCCAGCCTTTTACCTCGAGTGATGTCATCAGCAGGGTTACTTTCTGA